AAGACCTGTGCAGCACATGCTGAGTAGGAGATGGCCCTGGTGTCCCAGAGGGAATTGGCCATGGCTTTGGGGAGGGTGGTGGAGATGCAGCCCAGGTCGAGGAGGGAGAGGTTGAGCAGGAAGAAGTACATGGGGGTGTGGAGGTGGTGGTCCCAGGCGATGGTGGTGATGATGAGGCCGTTGCCCAGGAGGGCAGCCAGGTAGATGCCCAGGAAGAGCCAGAAGTGCAGGAGCTGCAGCTCCCGCCTGTCTGCGAATGCCAGGAGGAGGAACTGGATGATGGAGCTGCTGTTGGACATCTGCTGCCTCTGGGCATCGAGACCTGTTCATGGAAGAAAAAGACAGGGAGGATTTAGAGCAGAATTATCACAAAAATATCTACTTTATTCCTGGTCGAGACAGACAAATTCTTGTCTTTCACGAAGTCCTTTTGCAGGTCATTTTTTTGTACAGTCTGATTGTTGCTTGCTTTTCATGCCCCAGGGAGCTATGAGCTCTGGAGGAGTCAGTCCTGCCCTGCAGCAATTGGTTGAAAGGAAGAGGGGGTGACCTCAGACTAAATCTATTTGAGATATCAAAGAACTTTTCAGCATTTCTCCTCCAGACTCACCCAATTGCAGAGTAGAGCTGAGGGGATTTTGGTTTGTGTCTTCTGCTCCAGTTTCTTCACCACACATGAGGAACTTTTAAGGCAGAAGCCTTTGGCACTTCTGCTGCTTTCCAAGTGAAAACATTTGTGTGCTGAGAGGCAAAGGGACTGTTCCCTGTCCCTTAGTGCAGAGTGAGGACAGCTGGTCTGTCCATCAGTCCTGCTCTCAGCTGCCCTGAGCTGGCACCTCTTGCAGCTGCAGGACCAGCACACACAGATGTTCTCCTGAGGAGAAACTGAACATGGTGGAGAGCAGAGCAGTCAGATGTACCAGTGCAGTTCTCCCAGCCCCTCAGCCCATCTCATTCTCCCTGAGCAGGATCTCAGCTCTGCCCTCCCAGCCAGGGACACACAGGGCTCACTGCAGCTGCCCACAGGCAGACCAGCAGCAGCATTTCCATGGCCTTGGCATGGACAGGTCTTCTCCATGGGGCTCCCAGAAAACACAGAGGTGCCACAGGAGAGAGTACTGCTGCTGAGAGAGTTGGAACAGGGACACAAAGCATTTCTGCTCTGGGGTGCTGGGGTGTCTGGGAAGGGAAATCAGGAATAAGTCCCCATGATATGAAGGGGTGGGAGTT